CCGGTATCAACAACCTTGAGAACGCCTGAGTGTGCTTGAAAAGAATGTGTATTCTGTTGGATGGAGTATATGTGCCTGTTAGTTACATTCGGTCTAAAGTATGGTTCGAATCAAACATTGCCTTGCTGGTTTTCTGTCTGGATCTATCTATCTGTTGGAAGTGGGGTACTGATACCCCTTACTCGTATGGTATTGTCTATTTCTCCCGTCAAATTGGATAGTGTGTGCTTATGTATTTAGATTCTCCAATGTTGAGTGCATACATATTTCTGATTATTGCATATTCTTAATGAATTGACCCACTTATATAATGGCCATCTTTGTCTCCTGTTAACCATTATTGGCTTCAAATTCATTTTGTTTGATACAGACATGGCTACTTCTGCTCTCTTTTGGTTTCTACTTGCACAGAGTTTTTTGTTTTTTTTTTTTTTTTTTTTTTGTCATCTCTTCACTTTAAGCCTATGTGTGTTTTGAAAGCTAAAGTGAGTCTCTTCTAGGCAGCATATGGTTGGGTCTTTTTTTTTTTTAAATCTATTCAGCCACTTTATGCGTTTTGATTGGAGGATTCATTCCATTAACATTTAGCATTATTATTGATAGGTAAGGATTTACTAATGCCATTTTATTGTTTTCTGTTTTGTAGTTATCTTTTTCTTTTATTTCTTGCTGCGTTCCTTTGTCTTTTTTTTTTGTTGTTGTTGTTTTGTTTTTTGTTTGTTTGTTTTTTAAGTAGGCTCTGTCCCAGCGTGGAGTCCAACACAGGGCTTAAACTCATGACCTTGAAAGCAAGACCTAAGCTGAGATCAAGAGAGTCAGATGCTTAACCCTCATGCCCCATTGCTGCCTTCCTTTGTAAACTGATTATTTTCCATAGTGATGTGCTTTGATTCCTGTCTCTTTACCTTTTGTATATCTGTTGAAGATTTCTGCTTTGTGTAAAATTGTGTAGATTTTTTAAATTTGTTCTTTGCCTTGTAAGGTTTACATAAAATATCATATATATATAGGCATCAGTATATATATATATATATATATATATATAGTATATATACTGTGAGTTTATATATATATATATATATACTGATAACAATTTAACTTCAATGGTGTATAAAAACTTTGTCCTTTTATTCCCTCTTTTATATTTATATTGTTTTTATATTGTGTATTCATTAACAAATTGTTGAAGCTATAGCTATTTTTAATATTTTTGTCTTTTAACCTTTACACCAGAATTAAGTAGTTACATCACCATATGGTAGTATTAATGAATTCTGCAATTATTCTGTTTTTTTGTTCCATGGTAATGCTAAAACTTCTTAAGTGGACTCCAGAGGTTTCCCAGAACTGTTTTTGTTCATGCATAGAATGCTCTGTTCAATCATTGATCTTTGTGGGGGAAAAGGGAAGCTGGGTTCTCCACCACAATCTACAATTTCCTACTGTCATATCTTCAAGCTCAGATTTTTTTCTTAACCATGTCCAGACTGATAATGAGCCTATCAAAGGTGTTTTTCATTTCTGTTACAGTGCTTTTTCATCTACAGCACTTCTTTTTGATTCTTTCTTAGAATTCCTAATTCTGTTTATGTGATCCATATGTTCTTGCATGTTTTCTACACTTTCCATTAAAATCCTTAACATACTATTTATAGTTTTTTTAAATTTCCGAGTCTGATAATTCCAAGGGTTTTTCCATTTCTGCCACTTCTTGTTCTGATTCTTGTTCAGTATTTTTACATGGTGTTTTTTGACATTTGTATAGACTTGTAATTTTTTATTGGAAGGTGGATATGATGCACTAGAAGGAAATGCAGTGAATAAGCCTTTGGTAATTTAGTGGTAAGGCATTAGGAGAAGTATTCTATAGTCCTATAATTAGGTATCAGTCTCTTGGTGAGCCTGTGCCCCTGGAGCCCATGAATTTCACAGGTGCTTTCCTTTTTTTTTTTTTTTTTTTTTCATTTCTTATATAGGACGGCTAACTGGGCCTGGATTTGGTATTTTCTTTACTTCATGTAGAAAGCCACAGAGAGCTAGAATGGGTTTTTCCCTGGTCAGGAAGACTCAGATAAAACCCTAGTACTATCTGGTAAAATAATTTCTCCTGAGGTCAGGTTTTGTTAAAGAGAAGGGAATGCTCTGGTATATTTCAAAATGGTTCCTTTTCCCCTTCCCTTTCTGGAAGCTTTGGGGGATTCTTCTCCAATATTTTCTGTGAGAACCTAGTAGAGCTCTTGGAGGTAAAACTCACAAATGTGTTTCTATCCTGCCCCCCAACTTCCATGACTGGGTCAACCTGAAGTTTTTAACTTTCAGAGTTGTCTACACTGAGCTTCCAGCAATTTGCCAATTACAGCTCAGGCGTTCCTACACTGACATCAGTTCCTGGAGAAGTTTCTGCTCATGAGTTTCTGTTCTGGAAAGTGTGACTCTCTGTATCTACACACATATCTGTTTCCAATTCGGGGGGTATCAGTTTGTCCTACAACCTCACTTATATGATGGATCTAAGAAGAGTTAAATATTTTGAGTTTGTTCAGCTTTGTTAGTATGGAGCAGTGACTTGTAAGCTCTTCAAATGAAACTGGAATTCTCAACTAATTTTTGACAAAGGTACAAAGCATTCAGTAGATACAAGGGAACCTTTCAACAAATGGTTCTGGGGAAATTAGACGATCATTGTAAAAACATGAGCCTTCATACTACAAAGCTATAATAATCAAAACAGTATGGTAGTGGCATAAAAATAGACACATAGATCAATGAAACAGAATAGAGTCCAGAACTCAAGCAACACTTAATATGGTCAGTTAATCTTAGACAAAGGAGTTAGGAGTATGTAATGGGAAAAAAATAGTCTCTTCAATAAATAGAGATAGGAAAGCTGGACAGCTATATGCAAAAGAATGAAACTGAACCACTTTTCTTACACCATACACAAAAATAAACTCAAGTGGATTAAGGACCAAAATGTGAAACCCAAAACAAAACAAAACAAAACAAAAAGCACAGACAGTAACTTCTCTGACGTTGGCCATAGCAATGTTTTTCTAGATATGTCTCTTTGAGGCAAGGGAAACAAAAGAAAAAATAAACTATTGGGACTACATCAAAATAAAAAGCTTTTGCACAGCCAAGGAAACAATTAACAAAGCTAAAAGACAAAGTACTGAATGAGAGAAGGTATTTGCAAATCAATATCCAATAAAGGGTTAATATCCAAACTACATAGAGAACTTATGCAACTCAACACCAAGAGATAAATAATCCAATAAAAAAATGGGCAGAAGACATGAACAGGCATTTCTCCAAAGAAGACATACAGATGGCCAACAGACACATGAAAAGATGTTCAACACCACTCATCATCAGGGAAATGCAAATCAAAACCACAGTGAGTTGTCACTTCATACCAATCAGAATGGCTAAAATCAACAACACCAGAAACAACAGGTGGGTGTGGAGAGAAAGAAATGCTCATGTACTATTGGTGGGAATGCACTGGTATAGGCATTGCGGAAAATAGTATGGAGATTCCTCAAAAAAATAGAAAATAGAAATACCATATGATTCAGTAATTCCACTATTGGGTATTTAGTATTCAATGAAAATGAAAACACTAACTCAAAAAGATATATACACCTCTATGTTTTTGTAGCATTATTTACAATAGCCAAATTATGCAAGTAGACCAAGTATCCACTGCCAGGTGAATGGATAAAGTAAATGTGGTACGTGTGTGTGTGTGTATACATATATATGCACTCAGCCATAAAAAAGAATGTAATATTGCCATTTGCAACAAAATGGGTGAATCTAAAGGGTATCATGCTAAGTGAAATGAGATAGACAAATACCATACGATTTCACTTATATGGAATTTAAGAAACAAAACAAATGAACAAAGGGGAAAAAAGCAAAAGACAAACCAAGGAACAGGCTCTTATCTATATAGAACAAGCTGATGGTTTGAGGGAGTAGAGGGATGGGTGAAATAGACAATGGAAATTAAAGAGTACACACACTTATCATGATGAGCACTGAGTAAAGTATAGAATTGTTGTAACTTGAAACTATTATAGCACTGTATGTTAACTATACTGAAATTTTTTAAAAGTCCAGCTGGCAAAAAAAAATAAATTATATTAAATTAATAAAATGAGCTTATATCTCATACTTTATATAAAAAATAACTGAAAATAGGTCATAGAATTATATGTAAAATTATAAAATTCTAGGAAAAATACAGCAGAAAATCTTCAATATCTATGAATAAGTACATTTTTTTTACTTGACAGCAAAATCACTATCCATATAAGCAAAACTTAATTTGTTAGGCTCTACAAAAAACAAAACCTTTTAGTCTGTAAAATACCCAATCAAAAGGATAAAAAGACAAGCTATACACTGGGAAAGAATATTTGCAAATCATCTGATAAAGGTCCAATGATTAGAATATTTAAGAGAGTCTCAAAACTCAACATCAAAAAAATTCTATCAGAAAACGGGCGAAACTGACGAGGAGAATATACAGATGGCAAATGAACACATGAAAAGATGTTCAACATCATTAGCCACTAGGAAAATGCAAATTATACCACAATGAGATATTGCTGTATAATTGTCAAAGTAGCTAAAATAAAAAAATACTGACAACATCAAATGTTGGAGAGAATGTGGAGAAACTGTACCACTCATACAGTGCTGGTGAGAATGTGCAATGGTACAGCTGCCATGAAAAATAGTTCGTCATTTTCTTACAAAATTAAACTGCAGCTACCATATGACCTATCTGTAATTACACTGCTGGACAGATATCCCAGGAAAGTGAAAACTTCCATTACACAGAAAATTGTACAGAAATGTGCATTGTAGAAATATTTGAATAGTTCCAAACTGGACACAACCTCGATGTCCTTCATCGGGTAATGGTTAAACTGTGGTGTATCTGTACCATGAATATTAGTTAGCAATAAATATAAACAATTGGTGCCTACCTGAATAAATCTCCAGAGAATTATGCTGAATAAAAAAACCCCGATCCCATGATTCCGTATACACAGCATTCCTGAAATAACAGAATCAGAGAAAAAAATTTGTGATTTCCGGGCTCTAAGGCAGGGTGGGGACAGGAAATAAGTGGGTGTAGCTCTAAAACTGCAAGATGAAGAATCCTTGTGTTGATGGAAATCTCTGTATCTTGCCTGGATCAGTGTCAATGTCCTGGTTATCATACTCCGCTATCCTGGTTATCGTGTTCCGCTGTAGTTTCACCATATATTACTTTTGGAGTAAACTGAGTAACGAGTACACGTGATCTCATTATGTCTTTTCTTACAGCTGCACGTGAATCTACAGTCATCTTAAAATGAAAAGTTTAATTAAAAAAAGAAGCAAGGAAGGCACGCTGAAACCCAACCAGAGCAGACCAATGTATTAATAGCAAAAAAAAAAAAAAACAGCATAAAAAGAAAAAAAAAAAAAGCTTCCTTGGAGAATTCCAGTTAAAAAAAAATACTAAAACATTTCTTAATCAATCGCAAATTAATTCTGATTTCTTTGTGCAGGCCATGGAGAATCCGCAGCCCTGGCAAGGCCTCCTTCCTTTCCTTCTAGGCCTGCGCTGCCTTGCCCTGCGAGGGGACTCAGTGAGTTCGGTTTTTGAACAGGCCAACAGTTCCTCTGGATTCAAATTTTGACACGTCCTTTTAAGAGTGCAAGCAAGCTCCGTGGGCTTCCTCGTATTCCAGCATCTCCCTTGTAAAACAGCCAACAACACGGCCAAATCTATTGAGAGCATGCCCTTGTCAACCTTCTGAATTTATTGATATTTATATTTATGATACAAACGAGGTTTTTGAGAGCCTCCTTTTCTGCTGCCTGGTGTTTGCTTTCATAGGACAGAGACCAGACAATTGAGAGGGAAGGAGGCAGCACTTGTGCTGGATTTATTGGCACAGAACGCTGAAGAGCAAGCACACCACCAAATAGAGGATATTGATAAGGAGACTAAATTCATTTGAAATCACTAAAACTCAGTTAGGGGCATATTGTATTAAGTGAAATGCCATTACTGAAGGGCCCAGGGAGAGACTGTATGCCAAGTCATGAGAGCTTTTCAGCTCACTGGAAGGCAGCCATTGCACCCACGCACTACATTTGATGGTTTGGAAGTACAGATAATTTCTGCATAGATCATAAAGGGACTTGAAAATGGCTCAGTCCCTAGGAGCACAGGCATGGGCTGAATTGTCCCCGAGTGAGAGCATTCAAGAGAGGATCCCCGTGCAGTAAAAACATGCACTGAGTGGGTATGAATCCCAACTTCCCCTAAAGGCTCCCTCGTGATTGTGGTACATTAGTGTGTTTTAAAAACTCCACACTAAGGACCATCAGTTGATTCTGGGATTTTTTTTTTTTTTTCCAAAGCATCTTTTCCAAGAGAGGAAGGCAACAGAACTCTGGTTTATGTAATACACTTGAACCATTTTTAGTTAGTTTCAGAAAGTTCCCTCAGCCGAAGGAAGTTCTCTAGCAGGTTGTGACAGCAGTTTGGGGTCTCTTCTCACTGCAGGAGAGAGCTTGCTACCCGCCACCGCAAGTTGGAGGAGATTCAGAAAATCTGTTTTCTTCTAAGCAGCCTCCTAGCACTTTCCCCGCAGGTTGTTTGAGTTTTCCTCGCTTGATGTCGCTTGCACCGTTCTTGCACCCCTAATCCTGGGGAGCAAGGACCCACGGTAAACACGAGTCCATTTCAGTGATGCGTATAGACCTTGTTCAGGTTATTCAGACTAAGGAGGCCCCTTATCTAACAAGCACCAGAGCAGACTTTTTGAAAACACTTTTCACCCGTGACAACAGTGGCCTGGTTTTGTCCTCACCAACGATGGAATAAATGCAGTATCTCATGTCACCTACCTCCATGTCTCATTTATGCCAAATTCTTCTGGGCTTGGGCATTGTAAGATGGGCTTTGCACTAGGATTTTATTCCAGCACACACACCTAGAAGAGCGCCGCTCTGAAAAGGGAGGAAAGGCTTCTCTTTCCTGTAAATCTCTGTAGTGACCAGAGGAGAAACAAATTGTCTTTGCTGTGCTATTTCACCTGACCTCTCCTATAAGGTAAGCAGAAGAAATTGCCCTTTGAACCTGTAGAGGGTATGTTGCAAGTCACCAGGACAATGCCGAAGTGCCACGAGATGACTCAGGTAGTCAGCAAACAGAACACATCTCTGGTTGGAGGAAGATCAAGGGTTATTTACTGCCCACTGAGAGTTTCCACCTAAAAGTAAGCTTGTTTTGTCTTTAAAGATACTGAAGATGATGCAAGGTCCTAATGGAATCAGGAACACCCGGGATGCCTGGGTGGCTCAGTGGTTGGACGTCTACCTTTGGCTCAGGGTGTGACCCCGGAGTTCTGGGATCTAGTCCCGCATCGGGCTCCCTGTGGGGGGAGCCTGCATCCCCCTCTGCCTGTCTCTCTGCCCCTCTCTCTCTCTCTGTCTCTCACGAATAAATAAATTAATTAATTTAAAAAAAGAACACCCTAGAAGATATTCATATTTCCAGCACCAAGCACACATTTTGTTCTCTGTGGCCACAAATGCACATGGTGGGCCTTTTGGCAGCATGATCCTATTTTTTTTCTTTATACCTCCAAAGCCCCAAAATAAACTTTATTCTACAGAACTGAGCTGCCAAGGGAAAAAAAAAATGGATTAGAAACTGTAAATGCTTGTAAGATTATCAGAGACATGGCCTGCAAGCATGTGTTTTAATATATCAAATCATAGCAAATGTATCAATTTTGAAATACTAAATCCATATTCATTAATTAGAAAGAGTTAGTTTAAGGAAGAAGATGGATCTCTTGGAAAAAAATAAAAAAAATTAAATGCTTAGAACATGAATGCTCCCATATATTCCTCTAATTTATGCTCTATGTGACATCTGAGTGGTCTTTCACCATTTAGATGTGATCATATCACTTTCTCGGCAAAACTTTAAACGTGGCACACTTCCTTCAGGAAAAAAAGCTAAATTCCTTTGAATGGTACCTCTACTTCTCTCTCGGGGTCTCATTTCTGTCTTGCTTGGCCATTCCTTTCTAGATCTTTCCCTGTCACATCCTGATGGTCCAGTAAGACCAAATGACTGAAACACACCATCTCCTCTTTGGCCTCTGTGTTTCTGCATTAGCCTAGAAAGGCCTTCCTAAAACTTCTCTTTATTCTTTACAACCAGAGTCTCCGTGTATTCCCCTTCTGGAAGCCTTCCCTATTGTTCCCAGCTGACTCTCAGGGTGTGACATGTCCCTGTTGGAATTTGTGCACACATACATGGTTGTCATTACAAATACTTGTTGGCATATCTGTTTCCCAACTAGATTATAAGCTTTCTATGGGAAGAAACCACGTATTGTCATCTTTGTCTCTTCAGCACCCCCTACTAAAGCGAGTGGTAAGGTCACAAAGAATTCTGTTGAATGTGTGAATGAATATATGAATCAATCAATTAGCGACAGTAGCTATAAAGAGAATAAACCTGCAGTTTCAAACACAAATCAGCAAAATAAAAACAGAGAAAACAAGAGAAGACAAATGCCTAATTTCGTCTCTTAGTGGTTTGTTTCAGGAGGCATAGGTGGAGTGCTCAGAGCTGATGGCATGATGCTCTTCCTTGCCACCACGAACCATCTTCAAATATTCTCAGAGGTACAATGGAATAGTCCTCCTCCTTACCATCACTGTATATTTTATCAACATTATATTCTTCTTTTGTTCAAAATCTGCCCACTCACTAAGACAAAGTAAAAGAAATTCTTACATATATCAGTTCATGATTCAAAGAATACCACTTTTTCTGGGGTCTTGAGGTCCTTATTTTATAGAAGCAAAATAAACAGGAGTCTAACAGCAGATCCAAGGAGATCTGCAGGTCCAGATACGTGCTCCTGTCAGCCTTTAAAATAAAGTACTGTTTCAATATGATAGCTGCATATTTGAGTCCTTGGGAGTACACCTTGGGAAGAGACCTGTGTCTGATCCAGGCAAGCACATTCTACAGCAAAATGATGGGGAGATATTAGTCCTTCCAAATCCTCTTTTTCATTCTCATAGATGGATTATTCACGGTCCCCATGAATGAAAGCCTGTTTATTGAAATATTTATTTAATGGTAGTACTCTCAGACACAGTATTAACACCTACCTCACAGTGATATTGGTAGGTATGTAAGATACTATTTATAAAGGGTCTGATTTCTTTCTTAGGATGATATGGGTTAAGATTTTTAAATGTTGAGGATGTGGCTGAGCAGGACTATATTAATAATTGGACTGGCCACAGAGTAAAGGGTGCTGGATATGTGGATTTTCTAGTTAGCTAAATGTTGTGGTTTCTAAGACAGCACGGTGATTAGGAGTAAATTCGAGCCCTAGACTCCTTGGGTTCAAAACTGGGCTCCCCCACTTCTCAACTTGGATAACTTTATTAATCTTTCTGGAACCTCAGTCTTCATTTTAAAAAGAAGATGATGAAACCATCTATATCCAAGGCTATGATAAGTCATATCGAGCTTAAAACAAAAAAGAAAACTGTGTGCCCCTGTACACATTATAAAGTGTCCTCCCCTATTTTAACCAAGTGGAAAAAGAAAAAGTTAATAGAAGTTCTACAATCCAAAAAGCATGACGATACTTAAAGTTTCACATTGTCCAATCTGTCAGCTCATCATTGTCAACCCTCATAAGCCCACACAGGAAGAGGACACATCGGCCCCATGGCCAGAACCTCAGGCTGATTGGAAATTACTGTTCCCGTTGCACAATAATGCAAGGTCATAAAACAATAAACAATAGCCTGTCTTTATTTAAAATTTTGATATTTTGTTCATTCCAACTTTTTTGCATGAGTTTTTATTTTTTAAAATACTTCATCACAATGTCGCACATCTTGACTACTAAATTCTTTGGTATTGCTTACATTTTTTTTGTACTGACCTGACCCTATCTCATATGTTGTTGTGAAAAGTAAATGAAATAATAAATGTAAAGCCCTAAGGACCAT